TCATAGAACAACAATATCTGCCGGGGATTTACTGTAGTTTTTTTAGTAATTCTTTGATGTTCGAGGCCTTTTTGTATTCAAAAACATTCATCTGTGTAAGAGCATGTATTAGGACATTGGTTTAGGTCATAAAGGTTGGTGTATCGAGCCAAATGAGTTCATTTTCCTTGGCGAGATATAAACCGATACTTCGTAGCTGACTACGTGGCTGTCTGATTCTGAATTGCATAGCCTATTTTCTAATTTGATGAGGGATTCTGTCTCGTCTGGTTAAAGAAAACAATGCTATTCACAGATGAGTATTCCTAGATGAAGTGATGAAGCGAGTGCATGGTTATAGAGGACCATAGAGCGGGGCATTCCTGTTTGCGAAGATCGCTCGCCACACGGCGCCGAGCTGTCTGATTTTGATACTGTAGTATACTTGACCTTTAAATTACTGCAATATTCTTACTATGTTTCACGCGAAAGACTATCAGAGTGAACGATTTGATTCTACGCTTTTAAAGATTTGTCAAAAATTATTGCATATCTAGTCCCTTCAAAAGCTGCTAAATATTACATGAAAAGTAATAAACAAGGAATTACTTTCACAAATTTTTTCTCTTAATATAGTTTGATTTCAAATCACTTTGTGATTTATCACAATCTCGTACCCAGAGCCTGCGTTCTCTTTCGGTCAGCGACGAGAACATGAGTATAGATGAACTGCATGCCTTTGGTAGCACTATTCTTTACATCTAAACCAGACCCTCCTTAGAGCGTCAACTCGGTCAAACTATTTTTGAAAATTGAGGAAGACAGTATATTACATGCCCCTGGTTGTTGGTCAAACACAAGAAAAGTTTTAAATGAGCTCATTTTGAATAAGTACGGAGCACTTTTCAACACCTTTAGGGCACGAGTACACCCTGCTGTCAGGGTCTAGTTTGCATAATAAATTCAAGTTAACTGATATATGAGCTTATTATTTGTTTCTTTATTTGCCTTTTCTTGTCATAGAAACTCTATTATTCAGCTACAGTATTCCACGCGACAGAACGTGTCGATCGTTCAATAGTGTAACAATTCCAGACACGCCTTGGTATAATCGCCGATCCGTTCACATCGTATCAGGATAACTTAGCATGACTCAATCTAAGCTCTCTTTAAGACAGCCGGCGTTCTTTCCTATGCAAGAAAGTAATAAGATCGATAGCAGACATAATTAATTACCAGGGGCTGGTTACATAACTGTTTTTGCCTCAGGAAAATGTAAATACGTGTCACATCTATACTTATGTAAATTCACTTTGGCTGCTTTTGTAAAAATGTTAAGTAAACCATCGAACTATCTAGCTATCTATCTATTCTTCATTTGACCCTTGATCAGCTGATCGACACTTACATGTGGTTATAATGATTTGCAATTTGTTGACCATGATTTGCCGCATGTAAATGGAAAAGGCTACGTGATGCTATTCTCTTCCTTAAATGTCGTGTCATTTTTCTTTGTTCACTCTTTCATCCTYCCCTCCCTTCCTATATTCCCCAACTTAAAATGTATTCCTTTGGGCTACCTATGTCTTAACTCTAACTCTCTACCTCCCTTCCCTTGTGATGAACTTGCTAGTGTCAGAACGAACATGATATCAAGTCGGCCACACGCGATTTTTTTTTCGGAAGAAGTCATCACTAGGGAGACGAAAAAAGGAAAAACGGATTATAAGATAGTCAAAGGCTAAAGGTTTTTTTGTCCACAACGTGTGCATTACCGTCAAGGTAAATTATTCCGACTTTGCCTTGTAAAAATGTCCCATACATCCTAGCCCTGTTAAATACCCGGGAAGGGGGGGGGGGGGAATTCCAGGTAAAAGTACCGGGGATGTTCGTCGTAAAGTTTTGAAAGGACCCCTAAAAAAGGGCATGGCTGACAGATTTTAACCCCTAAGAATGATAAAATGTATAAAATATTTAATGACAAAACAAAACGCAGAGGAAAATCAATATCAATGCGCTCTTTCCCTTCTTTTGCGACACCCTAAGAGATATCAGAAAATGCAAATTTCCAGAAACTCCTAATTGTCGCCCTAAAAGATTCCCAAACAACGAATTTTTACCCCTAAAGAGATCCGATGAGAACCCCCCCCCCCCTACTTTTACGCCCGGGGGGCGGTTAGATATCAATGACAATAAAGGTGTACACTCTATAAAGACCTAAAAAGCTGTCTGTAAAGGCTTAATCAAGCATAGTTAACTATTAATCAAGGTATAACGATGCCAAGGTGTCATACAATGTTCAGCACAAGTTCATAGACCGGAAATCTCGACAAGCTGTTCAACGTATGGAGTTTGTATAACCGCGTCTGTTAACTTAATTTCTAAGGTTGTTTTTGGTGCATTATTCAATGGTACTGATGTGCTTTTATTTATTTTTCGCAGTTAATTCTTTTCATTATTATATTTTTACTAGTTTCATTAAAAAGAGGAAAACATTTTTTGGGACGTGGGCTTCCTGTGTATTTCAAATCCCAAGAGGACTGGGGTGACAATAGTAATCATAGTAAAAACGACTGCAAAACCTTCACTGATAGTATCTCATCGTTATCTTCTCCGAAAAACGCTTTAAATACTTTTAAATCCACGCTTTATTAGATAATATCCATTTTTAAGTGTACTTTTGCGATGCTGTGATAGAAAATAACCAAGAAATTGGCCTCACATGGGGAAAATATCGTTGGAACATTCGGCATGTTTGGGATGACAACATCTGGAAGGCGAGGAATGGCGGAAGGGTTTCTCAGTTTAAATATTCACTAAATTCACGCAGTTTGGTCTTCAAGAACTTATGAATTAGTTACCAAAAGAAAGCCGACTACTCAAATCATTTTCCAGACGATTTTTGCCTCTCGGAACGTTGTTAACTTTGACAGACGATGAATCTCTGAAGATGGCAGCTTTCAAGTCGTCGTTTGGCTTGTGAGGACCGTTTTAGTCATGACGCGATTTTCTTTTCGCTACATAAAAGACAATCTCTTATTTCGGGTAATTGTTTGTCTCTTAATTTGTGCCATTATTGGACCTTTGATAACGCTCCATCATTTGAACAAGGCAACACTTGTAAAGGGACTTCCTTCATCAAATTCCTTCACTTCCCGTAATACACTTGGCAAAGATGAATTCGTATTGGAAAGATTGGACGAATTGAAGTCACAAATAAATGAATTAGAAAAGATCAAGCTCTCTCTATCCAACGAGCTTCGTGATTTAGAAGGTAAAAGGCATGTTATTCAAAGAGATATACAAAAGTTTCACGAAACAGCTGAGAAACTTAAAAAGGACTCCAAAAAAGTAAAAGATCTTGTGCATCAAGCAAAAAGAGATCTTGACATTTTTAAATTAGAAAAGACTAGATTGAACCAATGTCCACAGCTACCTTTCATGAAACTGCCAAAGGCACCTGACTTGAATCCAATGAGAAAATCATCTTTGAGTCCAAATTTCAAACATCAAAGAGAATGTACTTTAGGAAATTGCTTTGATTATTCCCGGTGCCCTTATTCAGGTGGTTTTTCAGTCTATATCTATAACCCACAGGAATACTTGAGCAAACCGTCTGAAATCATTATCTCAGCTTTTGGAATACTCAAAGAAAGTCCATACTTTACCTCAGAAGCAAGTAAAGCTTGTGTTTATATTGTGATATTTGAGCTTGAAAGACTTGAACTGCCATTTGCTTCTTTGCCTTACTGGAACAATGGACAAAATCATTTCATACTCAAGCTTAAAACTGACAGTAATTATTCAAGTCTTGATTCAAACCTTGGTATGGCATTCATAGGACAGCCATCATTTATTCATTCTAAGTATCGACCTGGTTTTGATCTAATACTTCCACCATTAGTAGCTAATTATTCTGGAGGAAGCTTATGGAAGCATGCTCCTCCACAGCTACCAGCATATAGACAGTTTTTTCTTTCATTTGAAGGCCATACAACTAATCAAAGAGAATCAACAGGGACTAGAGATCTGCTTTCATTATCACAAGAATCAAAGGATTTTCACATTAGCACTAATTGTGGTCATAATAAGCTTTCAAGTAATGATGGGACAGATTGGGGTTTGTGTGGGACCCATAAAGATAGATTAAAAATACTGAAAAAATCTACTTTTACTTTGATTCTTGGTGGACGTACTGCTCAAAGATCATTAGACTCAACACACGTGAGACTTCTTGAGGCTCTGCAATGTGGATCAGTACCTGTTGTACTGGGAATTTCGACTTTACTACCGTTCGCAGAGGTTATAGACTGGCATCTTGCTTCAATAATTCTACCTAGTGCACGTATAACAGAATTAAATGCACTATTGAGGACTATTACATCTCAGGATTTATTAAAACTAAGGCGACAAGGGAGATTTTTATGGGAGAACTATTTAAGTACTCAAAAATCCATCTTATACACTAGTTTATCTGTTATAAGAACAAGACTTTCTTTACCAGCACCGCCATTACTTGCTTCACCATCACCATCAGTATTCACACCATCAAATCAACCAATCAAAAATCCTCCAGATCCTGATGCAATCTTAGAACTCCAAATTAACTCTCCTACATTTACAAGAAATCTTACAACAGCTGTCAACTTTATAACAAATGAATGGAATAGTCCACCCGGGGCTTTATACTCATTTCCGAGCACACCATTTGAACCGATGCTACCATCTTCTGCACCATTTATGAATACAACGGATGCATTTGAGGTTATTGCTGGGGGCAAAGGAGGTTCAGGAGAGCCGTTTAGTAGAGCACAAGGTGGTAACTACCCCAAGGAACAATTTACCATTGTAATGTTGACTTATGAGAGAGAACTAGTGTTGATGGAATCTATACAGAGATTGGTTGGGTTGCAGTATTTGAATAAAGTTATTGTAGTATGGAATAGTCCTGTAAATCCTTCACTTAGTCTCCGATGGCCTGACATTGGTGTGCCACTGAATGTAAGTTGTAATTATTACGATACTTTACAATTCCCCAAAAATATTTAGAAAAACAAAGGTGTTTGTCACTGTAGTGGTCTATTACCACTCTTTGTTATTGGTTCAATTTGCTGTCCAGGAAATATAAATATATATTAGTCTCTATGACCACAGCTCCCTTCTCCATTTTGTAAATGTGCCTTTGAATTGAAGCAAGGCAACCTTTGAGCTTGCAATAATAGATTCCAGCRAAATATTGTCTGTAGGTGTGAATGTAGGTTGCAAGGTTACTGCTTGTCTTGCTCATGTCTACCTTTCAAATTGGTCTGGGAACCATGAAGGTGGGTTTTACTTGTTGTTCATGGATGACCAATCAAACCAAGATCAGCAGTAAAATATAAGCATAAATGATTAAGATATTTGTTTCAATTTGCATACAACTTTAGTTTGGATTTTAACTCACTCAGTATGTGTTAATGCAGGTTATAAAGACAACCAAGAATAGTCTCAATAACCGGTTTATCCCGTATGACGTGATTGAAACTGATGCCATTCTGTCTATTGATGATGATGTAGAGCTACGTCATGATGAGATTCTGCTGGCATTCAGGTAAACCAATTGTTAGAATGATATTATTGTTGCTGTCTATTATTTAATTTTTATCTCCATTGTTCAGTTTAAAATTCAGACTTTAATAAGTCACTTGTTCCCTTCATGCTAAATGACTGCCTGACTTTCCCTTGCCATAAGCATAAAAAGCAGAAAAAAGGTTTCTTATCCTATGTTTTTTTCAATAGGGTTTGGCGTGAGAATCGGGATAGAATTGTTGGTTTTCCTGGTCGATTCCATGCTTGGGATAGCGAGAAGAAAAGCTGGCTTTATGCATCTCGCCATTCTTGTGAACTTTCTTTAATTCTGACTGGTGCAGCATTTATTCATAGGGTACTATACTTGATTGATTAATTTACTGATTGATTGATTGGTTGATTGTCAGGTTAATTGATTTATTGATTGATTGATTGATGGATGGATGGATGGATGGATGGATTGATTGATTGATTGATTGATTGTCTGGTTAATTGACTGATTGATTGGTTGGTTGATTTATTTATTAATCGATTGATTGATTTCAATTATTTATTTCATTTGTATTTTAGTACTATTTATACCTTTACACACATTGGATGCCAGAAACTATAAGACACAAAGTTGATGAATATATGAATTGTGAAGACATTGCAATGAATTATTTGGTATCTCACATAACAAGAAAACCTCCGCTCAAGGTTAGTTTAGTAATAAACATACAATTATACATATTTATTGAACTTCTTAAAATTTGCTGTAAACAAATGTAATAAGATAAGCATTTGATTTACTCTTTCTTGTGAGTGAAGCATCATGTTTTCTTGCTATGATACAAACAATAGAATTAGTGTTTTATCTGATATTTGAGTTTTCCATTACAAGCCTTTTATGGATCATGTCCACTGCAGCTATTGGTATCATTTCCACAGCAAAGAATTTTTTTTGAATAACACTGCCTTGGGAATAATGGTCATAAAGGGGATGGGATTTCCTTCTCTTCTCCCTATTCCAGTGAGGGCCTTATAAGGTGGGTCTCTACAGACTTCCCTGAAAACCTTTAATAAAGTTTATAGCGCAGCCATTCACTTTGTTTATCACCCCAGGTAACATCACGTTGGACATTTCTGTGCTCATCTTGTCCTGTGGCACTATGGGAAGATAGGACTCATTTTGAGGAGCGTGATCAGTGCATGAATTTCTTCGCCAGAGTATTTGGTTATATGCCTTTACTGAGGACCCAGTACCGTGCAGATTCTGTGCTCTTTAAAACTAGAATTTCGTCTTCAGAGAGCAAGTGCTTTAAGTATGTTTGAAATACTTGTGTAAATATTGGTAAAACAAGACAAAATAATGTTTTTCCAATAATTTCAGTACTATAGTCCATGGAATAAGTGTTTAGCTCATTTTTCACATATATTTTGTATGCATATTGAATTATTATTAAAAAAACAACTATATGTAAATTATACTATATAAAGTATTATAATATTATTTTGACAGCTTTATGGGAAAATACATAGGATTAGTAACACTTTTATCGTACAAATATTTTATTATGGTTTTTTGACATACTAAGTTTATGACTATTATTTTGTTTTTGTTTAAAAAAGTTAACAACAACTTCGGTGTGGCATACACTACAATAATATATTATGTTCTAAAAAGACAACTAATATATGAAATAATAAAGATCTACATTATGTTTAAAGAATATGTTGTCATTTCTTTTCTCTCTCAGGCCTCCTCCTCCATATAATGTTTATTTTCAGTAAGAATTCATAGCATACAAAAACCAATTTCTAGTTTTATAAGCAAGACAAAAATGTAGATAGATAGATAGATAGAACATTTATTAAAACATGACACCTAGCAGTCATCTGGTTGAATTACTACAATAAAAAATAATGTAATGCAATGTAATGGGTATATTTATAATTGATAACGGCTGCTAGACAATCAGTTTGCAAGCAATATCATTCTTAGGTAAAAATTGCAATTTCATTTCTTTATTGTCCATTTCCCAATTTTTCCTCTTTCAATTTCTCACTATTATATCTTTTACAACACATAGTAATATATGTGTAAAATATTATCATGAATGGTTTTCTTCCAAAAACTCTTATATCAATATTAACAAAGCTATTGTATATCTGGCCCAAATACCCATTCTGTTTGAATGTTATTACAGTGTTTTGCTTCCGTTGCTGGGTGATCGGGCCATTTGTTTATTTGACGACGGAGGATTGTGACCATGTGACCAAACTATGACGTCAAGAAACTACAAGAACTTCTTCCCAAAGTCAATTCTTGATAATTTCTCTCTTTTTATTACAAAATAATGACGTGACATTGAAAAGCTTTAATTTGAAGAGCTTCCAACTTGTCTATTTGTCATTTATCTGGGGGATAAATCACAGACCGGAGCTTAAATACTGTCCAAATCTTGGCTGTCGAAATATTTGCTGTGGCGTGTTTGAATAAGCCGATGTTTTGACTTCGTAAACTTCAACACTATTAAAGACAAAATTATTCTTCTGAATCTGTTAAGATACAAGAATGGTTGATATTCTATAATGGAGGCACAAAAGGAAGACGTTTTGAATCCAGAAGAGACTGAAGTGGCTTCAAAGTCTACTGAAGAAGTGCCGCGTGCAATTAATACAGCGCGCGCTGCTCCCAAGAAGAAAGGCAAAAAAGCCAAAAAGAAAGTATCTAAGGACGTAGCTCCTTCTGAGGCTGAAGAGATATTTAAACCAAGCAAAATCTCAAAGAAAAAGAAAGCTGAATTGCCGGATAATAGTCCCCCCACGGCGGAGCTTGTTGCTGTACGAGAAGGTAGCTCAACTCGAATCTCTGACGAGAAAACCCAAGATAATGTTCTAGAAGAAAAAGATGAAAATATTGATAACAAGCTCATACAGGAATCTGGTAATACGATAAAGAATACATCAGAGGAAAATAATATTGAACTTGACGTGATCAACACTGATCAGAATGGCGACGAAAAGAAAGACTCCGAGAAAGAGTCAACTAGTGATGAAGAAGTTAGAGTTGGTAGCGAGAAAGACGGAAAAGATAGGGACAAAAACGGAGAAAAGGAAGAAATACGAAGACGACCGACTCTTTCTGAATTAAAAGATGGAAGTGTTGATGGAGAGAGCTCCCATCTCACAGAGGTCAGTCTAGTGATTAAAAAATACTATATTTTAATCTTATTAACCTGTATATTGAATATTAACCAGGAAATGTTTAGTTATAGAAATAGAAGTTATAGAAAATACAATTAAGCCAATGCAGTAATGAAATTTTTCTGTATAAGATAAAGTCCTGCCAGCACATCCTGCCAGTATATTGACAGTCTTAGTTTTCAAAATATGTTAATGATGTACATTCTGGTCTTAATTGGATCCTGTATTTGACATTTAAATGATTCCTCTCTTGATATCATGTCTTAGTGTCATGAAAATGAAATGAATGATTATTAAAGATAACAATATATACATTTATGGCATAATTAAAAAAAAGTGATATTCAGTCATTTTCTTTCTGTCTATATTTACTAAAGTTTATTAAAAATATGAACTAGGAATAATTACCAAGCTACCATAGAGTGAGATACGTCCATGTTTGTAATTAAGCCATTGTAATGGAATGGTAGATTGTACAATATAAAGAGAGATAGAACATTTATTGTCGCACATTGTTTTGAACCAACTTCAAGGCCCAGTGTGCACTATTATGCTTTGGGGGCCGCAAGGGCCTGGGGCGGCCATTTTCAGTTTACCAAAGGTCTATAAATTGTACTGTGCGTTTCATATCTTTGACCATCTCACTTTTCTAAGCACTTTAAATGCTGATAATAGAGTTTTTATAACCATCTGACATTCGTTTTATGGTGATATTTGGATACTACTAAGAAGTATTTTGGTGAAAATCATAACAATAACAGAGGCGCGCAAAGTATTATGGTGCAAACTGGGCCTTTCTCTTGTATGAAGGCTCAACAGATCTGTTTACTGTGTTTTACTGTGTACTTAAACATTGTCATTTCATCCAGTAAATGACACGCCCTTGGTTGATTATACTTAATTGGGTCCCTAATGATTGCTCTTTGTTCATTTTCTAGGGCCTGGATACAGTGAAAGAGATCACTACAGATGACAAATATGTCAAAGATGAAACTTTGAAAACAGAGTCAGCAGTTGAAGTTGAAAAGACAGAAGTTGTGATCGAAGTGGAACGCAAAATATCCAAAGATAGTTTAACATCAGTAAAAGTCATCCCCAAGGACAAAACCGATGATGTTGCTGTGGCTTTACCAGAAGAACCAGAAGAGTCTGAGGACAAGGCACTTCAAGTAAAAGTTGAAGGCAAAGACAAGCAAGAAACACAAGAATTGCTTAATACTTCAGCTGTTGTTGAAGTTCAGTCTGAATCTAATGAAGAAAAAGACGCAGAAACAACAGAGCAACAAGAGAAGCCAACAGAAGAAATGAACCAGGACATCTCTGTTGCTCTTGAAGTTGATCCAGAGAGTGATAGTAAGGTTAAAGAAGAAAACAAGACTCAAGACCAGGTAGATGATGTAGATGGAAAGACTAAGGCCTTCTTGGAGTATGAGATTGATGACGAGCTGCCATGGGCAAGGTACAGATCACTTGATGCACCACCAAACAGAGCTCCTATTGAAGAAGATGATGAATGGCCTCAATCTGAAGAGGAAGAGGATTATGGTATGTACACTAACTAACCTCCTTCTCTCAATACCCTAAACAACCTACTTACTACACAACTATCCTACCCTCCCTACACCACATTTTTGCACAGTTACTATCCACAGAATGGTTGCCTCCTTAGGATTAAGGGTCTGGTTTAGTAGTTATTTAATAAAACACAACTTCAGGTAGGTAGTAGGCATCCGTCAGTCACGAATGACTTTGGCTGTAGTCGATACGGAATGATTTTAAGTCACTTTAAGACAACTTCACACTGTAGTTTAACACCTTGGTTCTATTCATATCAATGTGATCATCTCTTCTAGAACCTCCAATCGATGAAAAACTACCGGATATCGATGAAGTTATGGGGACACTAGATGGCGGTGAATCAGAACTTGAGACTTCATCACCTCCTCCGCCTGTCATTCAACCACAAGACAAGGAAACACAACAGAAAAAGATTGATGCTCTTAAACTTGGCTTGGCAGAGGAGAAGATCAACTCTTATCTCGATGATTTTGAAAAGCGAATGGAGGAAGAGATATTAATGATTGGGCAGATTTCATTGGAGGAAGTCCAGGTATTTAATGTTGATTATATTGATGCTATGTTGTGATTATTTTATATTTTGCAAATTGAGATGAAAGAACTTTTCTGAGGTTGATTATGTGTATGCTGTACTCACACTGTCAATATTCTTTTCAAATATCAGGAAGAAGAGCGACGTCTTCGTGATGAACACATCTCTTACCAGCAACAAGAAGCAAAGCTTCAAAGAGAAAGAATCCAAGATATCATGGCCAGAGAAGAAAGAGCTAAAAAATATGTGATGGGAAAGCTGAAGGAAAAGCGCAAAGCCATATTAAGAAGAGAGGTTAGTGAATCAAATATTCCAGCTCTTTGGATTAGGGAAGAACAAGAAGAAAAGGAGTAGCGTGAATGCTGATGATTACATTTTCAGGAACATTTGATGCAACAAGACAGACTGATACAAAACAGAATCCATAGAGCATTCAGAAGAGCAGAGAATCAATTGTTGAAAGCTCTGAAAGCAAGGAAAGGAGAAGTAAAGGTAGGGATATGAACTCATATCCTTGTAGTAGAGTAGCCAATCAGATTGTGCATTTGTTTATATCTGTTTATTATAAATGTAATACAATACTTCTTTATTACTGCATATTGCAGACAATGTATGGTGACCTGATTCTTGCCGATGGCCAATATGGTGGAAGCAAGGGTAGAAGATGGAAAGTAGACTGGAACAGAACGCCGCAGCCAATCCAAATCAAGATGAAGTGCCTTAGAGGAGTCAAAGACAAGCTGCCTTGTAAGAAATGCTACCATAATGGTTGCTTATTAGATTGAACCAAGAGAACAACTCACAATAAAGCAGTGATTTAATCACCCTCACAAATTACATGATAACTTATTATTGATTTATTGATATTTGATCTCATCAGCTGGGCGTTATGTTCTAATGGTGTCGCTATATGATCGTATTGGTGGTCATGTGTTGAAGTGGTCAAACCTCAAAGGACAGCAGTGGGGCGGAGCAACCCTTCCTTTACACCATGATGGGGAATTCTTTAACATTGAAATCAAGGTAAACGAACAMTTRTCCTAATCACTTGTATTGATTGACATGACCATATCCAGGGTTTATTGTTTGGTTTGATGATATTGATGATAATGATAATACTGACTTTGATAATGATAAGAATTATAATTTATTATACAGATTATGTTAATCATTATTTTTCCAGATTGACCAGAGTGTGTTCACAGTGTGTCCAGCAAGACCAGATGTCCGTCCAGGAATGTCTTTGGTATTTGAATTGTTTATACTCAGAGGAAGTGTTACAGCAACTGACAGAGTGGTAGGCTGGGGATGCTTCCCAATTTGTGATGGAGAATTCAACATAGTGGAGGGAAAGTAAGTAGAGAATAGTATTTATTGTTAATTATTTGTGCTAAGTGTGAGTCTATGGTTGAAAGTATAATGTGGAATGTCTGAATTGTGTTTGTCTACCATTCTTTGCAAGCTTCTGGTTGAATTATTTCAGAGCTTGAACTGATCTGACTGTCAATGGCTACCTTCCCCTCCCTTGTGCGTATGCATATTGAGCCTAACCCTCCCTCCCATGGTATGTTTATTTCTAGATACAAAGCTCCATTTCTAAGAGGTGACATGGACCCTAGTATTGACAAACATGAGAAGATTGAAGAACTAATGGCTGAAGACTTAGAAAACTGGTTATGTAATCTTTACTTTGAGGTGGTTAGGCTACCAAGGTATGGGTTCAATAATGTTATTTATTCACCAACATTATGGACTTTAGTTAAATAGTTTATCACAAATCTGATCAAGTATGACCTCATGATCTATCAACTTGCTTTATTTGAAGAAAGTGCTTCCATGTTTTTTTTCAAGAAAGTTTCAAAAACCACCAGCCCCCTCCCCCCTCCCCCCAAAAAATGAATGGTCCCTAATGTCTGTTTTCCTATATGTAGGTACATGGCTGGTCAAAAGGAATATGAAGTAGAATTACAGTTCACATCAGGATTGGTGGGTTATCCATCACGTACTAACATAGCTGAGGAATTCATTGATGGAGAAGAACCAGTGTATGGTTCTAAAAGTGATCTTAAGTCACTCAACTCACCCACCAGTAGTAGACGACCAAGCAGGATTAGTATGTTAGGGTATGAATGATACTTCTTTACTTGTCATTTTTGGACATTTTTGTATTGATCTCTAATCTCAAGCCAATAAGAAAAAAAAAAACAGAAAAAAAAAAGAAACTAATAAACACATGTAGATGATGCGATTTTTGTTAATGTGCAAACTGCTATGGTTGAACCCAACCACCAACAAAATTATAGAAATAAAGGAAAGTTATAATGCTAGGAAGGATGTTATTCCGGGAGAAAGACCCTTGGAAATAAATTYGGAAAAATATCATGCACCTCACAGTGCTTTTGTTGAAAAAACTTCAGGAATTCATCTGGTTTATAGGTGTTTTGACAGCGGTTTTTATTGACATTAGTGAAAATGATGACAATGATGGTGATGATTAATAATCATTAATATTATCTCTATATCCACAGAGGATCCAGTTTCTTGGGAAGCACTATGGATCTAAAAGGGGAAACCAAAGATCAACTCCAGGGCTCAACGGTCGACCTTCAGGTCGAGGTCCCAGACTTCGCAGCCATGCCAAAGAGAAAACTAGTATGTTTTTAAATACTCATATTGTATCCCAGTGATGCATTGCGATCTAAGCGTTTCTTGTTATTTTAGTCCCTGGCGGTTCCAGATGCCAGCACCTTACGGCGTTCATCTATTGTTTCACAACGCCGAATGTCAGCGGTGTCTACCAGTCGGCGCATGTCTCGACCTATGACTGTTCATATGTCACGTAAAGCAGTCGAAGCAGACGTGTCCACTGATGGGTCTGGGACCGACTACTCAGATGACGAAGTTTTGATGCTTAAGAAGGATGACGGTTTCAAACCCGTTAAAGGTCAACCTGGCATGTTTTACAAGGTATGAATTTGATTTAGTGCGCATGGTCGAAATCCTAATTAATACATAGCAAGTATCTCTTAAAACTACTATAAATATGATGGAGATTATAATGACAATGATGGTGATGATGAAAGTCAGAACCAGATATTTGTCAGGGGGTTGTCCCAATACACCTAATTGGCTAACGGCGATGCTATGTACGTTGCCACCCAATTCAAATCCTGTGGGAAAAAGAACTTTTGTTTCTAAAAATCAACTGTGAAATGAAAATACAACGAACAATGAAACTCACTCCCTGGTGGTTTGAATTGGGTTGAAGCCGATTAGGTCTATTGTCGATGAGCTGATTTAGGGTTTGTCAGGTCTTACGGCTTCGACGTCAAGGAGGGATGGCGATAATTTAGTCGTATTTAAATTGTATTACTTGTTATGATTGTAATCATTATTGTTGTTACTATGTAGAAACATCACAATAATCCCGTCGATGTCTACGCTAAGAAGATGTTCACCATGTTACCCAAGACGCCGCTGCTTACACGACGAAAAAAGAAGAAGAAGCTCACTCACACTGAGGAGCTAGAGCAACATTCTTTCTCTGTACAGTAAGTCTTTGCTACAATGAATCTAGTTAAGGGACTGCGCATTATTTATCAGCAGAGGGGGTTGAGAAATAAGCCAAAAAATCAAAAACTTTAATTACTTCTCTTTTCTTGAGACTTTTTCCACTTCAATAAGTATTTGGCCAAAAAGCACAGAATCTGACACCGTTGATTTTTTGTCAGTTTCAATTAACGTTCTAGTCAATTTCACACGTTGTCCCCTCCCCCTTAAGCACATAAAAATAGATTTTGCTCTCCCCCCTGGATTCTCAACCCCTCCCCCTCCTGATACTTATTGCGCAGCCACTTAAATTGAAATTCTTCTTTAAAATTGAACGATGTCCGTCAATTACTATGCGTCAATCATCCTCGGGTATTCGTCTTTAGCAAGTGTGTCTTTATCAGAAAGCTCAGAGCAAGAAACGAGTTTACCTCGGGTTCCTAAAGATTTACGTTAATTTACAACATGTGGTCATTTTCTGCTCTTAACTCAATTTATTATTTAGGCAACAATTCTCAAACAAAGGTCACATATACCATCGGGGCCGAGAGAAGATGCAATATGTGGGTCGTCAGTTAATGGCAGAGCTTGGTCTATCTCAGTGGAGGTCGAGGGAATTCTGGGCCATGATGCTAATGATCGCATTCACGTGGTTTCTTAGACTGTTCACCCATTATGGCGGACAATGGTTGTATCTGACTGCTCTGAGAATACCCATCAACAAGTATGTATACGGGGTTAGGAGTTAACTCCTCCCCAGGCGTCTCTTCCCTCTTTAAAAACTCCCTTTACAGCGGATATTAACAACGCTAAGTTATAAAGAGAGTTGACTTGATAAATATTTTCATTGCAGATTTGAGTTTCTACCATACACCGTTAATCTGAACTACCAGAACACGTTGCTTCATACTGAGGAATTGATAGCCTTAGTGATTCTAGGACCGTTCTCTAACATCATAATACTCTGTTTAATGGTGATCTTTGCCTGGTCCATACAGCGGTTGTTTGGTTTCTTTCCCAATATCTTCTCTCGATTCATTATGGCGTTTGGTATTAATACCCTTCTGGATCCTATCTGGATCGTGATCGTGGATTCCTCTTTGGCGAGGTATTTCTAATTTGATTGTTATCTAGTTTTGTGACGTCGGTGAAATGCATTATGGGATTGATGAAAGTATAAATTGAACACAAGTAGACGAGTAAAGTTATCCTTTAGCAGCATGATTGTGATGAAGAAAATATAAATGTAGCTAGGGCTGCTGTGGTGGAACAAATATATTTGAAGAATCCGAGCTTTCTCTATCCTATAGATAGCTATCCTATAGACAGCTATCCTATAGACAGCGAAAGCTCGGATTCTTAAAATTTATTTTGTTTAGCCACAGTAGCCCTTATTACATTTGTATATATTTTCTTCGGAAAACAAGTGTTTCAGGCTTTTTTCAGCAGGTTTTTTGACAACTTGAAATGGTTTGTAATTATCGTAACTTGATTTGCGGAGGCCGAAAAAAAAAAAAAAAGAACTCCAGTGCGTATAAAAAGGCGAGAACATTGAAAACAGTTTTACATCTACAGTGTGATTCTAAAGAAGACTGGTCCAGATAATATTACAGGCATTAACTAGTAGTAATTTCTTGTAGATATTTAAACGTTGGCGGTGATGTACCAATAGGAGATGCCTTCAAGCTTTACTGGCATTTTGATAATTATGAGAAGAACGGCGCTGTTGGTATCGTCCTAACCATCTTCCTCTACATCGTCACCTTATTCACATCCTCAACCATTCTCTACATGTACTTCCTGCGTCTCCATAACAACGGACGTTTGATGGACGTCTATCATCGTCTCCATGCCGACGAAGATGATTTCTTCATTCCGTATGACCTGGAAATCTCCAACGAGGAATTGAACTTCATCGCCAAGAAGGCTGAGCAATGGAGAGGGGAGGAAGGAGAGCGAAGGAAGACGGCTGTTTATGATTATATTTGGGAGGAAGAACAGGTAAAATAGAGAGGAATGGTTGCACGAGGGGGGGGGGGGGGGGGTTGGAGAGACTTTCCTGTGAAGAAGTACACCATACCCCCTCCCGGGTTAAAGTTGTTGAAAGATGTCCCGAGTTGATATAAGTTTCGTTTAGTTTCTTACTAGCTGCACAATGATGACGATGATGATGTTGCTGTTCTGGTTTCTTTTCTTCTTTTGCTTTTTCGTCTTTTTTTCTTTTTTCCGTCGTGGTAATTATGATGGTAATACGATGATTTTATATTGTACAACGCCCAATCTCATTACTTTGCCTCTATTTCTCTAAGGTCGATGAAGCTGAAATGTACGATGCTAAACATAACAAGACAGGTCATCGTGAGATCACAACCCACATGTCAATCCACACTCTTCACTTGGATGGTCTAAGAGAACTCTACAGACACTTCCTTCGTTTACCTGATGGTGCTATTGTTGAGGTATTATACACTGCATTATGATTTGTTGTACAAAATGGCGTCGCTGCTCGTTCTTCATTTGCAATTACTTCACAGAGGCCATCTTAGTTGAAAAGGATTTCTCATTAGTTTCTATTCATTCAACCAATACGGCCGCCGGTCTTTTGAATCTCGCTAAATGCTAATGCTAAGCGTCATATCGGCAGCCATCTTGGTTGAACTTCAAAGGATTTCTCATTAGTATCTATTGTTCATTCAACCACTATGGCCGCCGGTCTTTTGCATCTCGATAAATGCTAATACCAAGCGTTATATTGATTGTGCAGGTGTTTAATGAGATCAACCTGGCAGGCATGGACGAGGGTATCAAACAAGCTTTAATCAAAGGAACCAGCTATCAAGGCATGGACAATACACAGGCATCCCGGGCCAGCCTACGAAACAGATCTCCCTCAGTCGCTGGTAGCGAGGTGTCATTTCGACGTCCCTCGGTTCTCTTAGAAGTTCCCAAGAATGCGCGTTCACCTTCACCTGTGTAGACCTGGTATCTATCGTCACCAGACTACTTCATTTTATAGCCAAAAAACTGGGAACAAGTAATTTTTGTATTTATGTAAATAGTGATATCCAAATTGAACACAGGAAGCCCATTATAGATGATATGAATAAGTAGCGAAGCCTGTTGATCAGGCTGTATAGTATATTTTGTAAATCGTCAGAGTAGATTTCATTTGGATGCGCAAAAACCATGGTACCTGTAGTGCTGTAGCTATGAACTTTTCTCTATGGCGTCAATACCGTGCGAAGTTCTGTGACTTTGTGCCATATATGTGACAACTTGTCACATCTTAAGGAGGGGCCATAAAAAGGTAAAACCTCAAAAAATCCACACCAGGAACATAAACAAAACAAGAACACATTATGTAACTTCAAATAATTTCATTCAAAATATTTTCAATTTCTTTTTTGCCTTCAAAGCAGAGCTTGGGCTACCTGTGCTTGTACATATACATAGTATACGATTCTGCTCGCATTTTATTAGTAATTCCTTCGCATAACGACGAACCCTTGTTATGTGAACAACTCGGTCGATGTATAAGGAGGTTGTGTATATATCCCAGCTCGGTCGATGTATAAGGAGGTTGCGTATATATCCCAGAGAATTGGGGCTTTTAACAGTAGATATTTGTACATACACAGGCATTTCTACCAAGGACACTTTTCTATTTTTCAATATTTATTTTTGTATGTCAAACATGAAAAAATAAAAAAATAAAAAACACTATAGTCTATTCTGAATTTGTTGTTTGGTACCTTCATGCGCATTGGACAAGAATGTGGTGAAATTTCAGTAAAATGTTTCCAGAAATATGATGTTTCTCAGCAAATGTGCACCGAGAAAGCAATGCGCTCGACTACTGCCTCGTGTCCGTGAAACAAAAACGGTTTTGCGCGCGCTAATAACGAAAGCCGCGAAATTACTCGCACATTATAGCATTTTATTTTCAATGCGTTTTCTGCCTATTTTATTACCTGATTACGACTTTAATTAAATGGCGTCTAAACTTCAAAAGAATTTGAACGAGTTAAAGCAGAAAATGACGAAAGTGCTGCACGTCAAGGACACTGCAGAGAAATACAAAGTCGCTTCTAGCAGCGCAGCGGGAGAAACTTCACATTCAAGCAACATGGCGGCGAGAAGTCTCTCAAAAAATAACGAGGAGTGTAAAGTTGAACAGATGAACGACTTGTTTATGGTAGAAATCTCTAGCTTTGATGACGAATTGAGTCCAGCTGATCATAACACTGAACCCTTTGAAGTTGTTGAAGAAGATGAAAAGCAAGAAAAAGGTTCGACTTCAACATGAGGTCATTTTCTAAAGACGGAAGAGTGTGCATTTCATGACTTTAACCAACAAGGAAATGTGAAACATTGATTGAACAAAATCATTCGTTTGTGAGCTAAAATTTGATTAAATTCATGGCAAAAATGAAATTTTTCTGCTTAAATTAAGCTTACTGTTGACCTGCGGAGAATATCAAATTTTCTCTTTTTTTATCTTGTTGCGTATTTTTAATTTCCTTGAATTATTACAGCATTCTTGAAATGGGAATGTTACTTAATGTATTTGATCATTTAAATTATTCCAAAGTTCGTCACACGAGTTCAAAGTCGAGAGTCCCAATTTCATCATTCCATTCCCGACTTTACCTTCAGCCTCCCCAGCCAATTCAACCAATCAAATCATCCCTTTTTCGACTTTGGACTTTCTGTTCTTCATATACTAGTATCCGTGATCTTTTCAAATCAAGAATTCTCTCAAAATGGCTAATGTTTTATTAGAATTTGTCCAAACTTTATTCATTGTACTACTTGAAACACTTAAAAGTGTGTTTAGGTTTTTTATTCCGGCTGCCAAGAAAGATGTTTCGGGAGAAATTGTCTTCATTAGTGGTGCTGGCAGCGGACTGGGAAAACTAATGGCGTTCAAATTTGCACAACTTGGGGCTATTGTAGTTTGTTCTGACATTAATGAGAAAGCAAACGATGCCACAGTTGAGGAACTCAAGTCTCAAGGATTTAATTCTCACGGGTATAAATGTGACGTGAGTAAAAGGGAAGACATTTATCGCGTGGCTGATTTGGTCAAGAACGATGTTGGAGATGTGACCATCCTTGTCAACAACGCCGGCATCGTTAGCGGTAAAAAATTCCTCGAGACTGAAGATTGGATGATACAAAAGACGTTTGAAGTAAACACAATGGCTCATTTTTGGGTAAGTGTGTTATTATGTAAGTTCAAATAAATAGAAATCATAAGATAGACAAGGTTATCCAAGGTTGTCTATCACGTGGCCTCTTGACCCTCACAACACGCCAGGGATAGTACCGGGACGTCGTACAGGACTAACGTCACGACAGCATGCAGTACAGTTTCGCTTGCCAGCGTTTACATCGGTATATCACTTGACAGGACAGAGACTTGTGTTAGAGCTGGAGTCAAATAACCCCAAACCATTCCTCTTTTAACTTGCCTTCCATCCACTACCTCTGTAACATCTGTCTTCTTTCTTTTCTTTTGCCATTCCGGTTTTTCATCTTTTCTGCCTTACCTTCCATAATATCTTCTTTCTCTCATTATTATTGATTTCCTTGTTCTATTCATTATTGATTAACCTTGCTTAGTAAATTATTCCTCTCTTTTCTTATTTGATATTTTATCACCTATTAATTCTCCCATCCCCATCCCTTCTTTATCTTATCTTTATCTTTTTTCATATATAAATCAGATGCACGTTATTTTATATGTATTATATAATTCACAGACAACTAAGGCATTTTTGCCGTCAATGATTTCCAAAAACCATGGCCATATTGTCAGCATTGCATCCTCCGCTGGTCTTACAGGAGTGAATGGTTTGTGTGACTACTGCTCTTCTAAGTTTGGTGCTGTGGGTTTTGATGAGTCACTTAGAATGGAGCTCTATGCATTAGGGAAGACTGATGTACATACAACAGCTATTTGCCCATTCTATATCAATACTGGGATGTTTGATGGTGTCCAGACCAGGTAATTTATGTTATATCACTTGTTTGTGAAAATGTATTGATTATATTTATTAAGAAACCCTGCTTGTGGCAAGAGCAACACCACAGCTTTCAACATAAATTGAGTCAAAACATGTCAACTTGGAACCAAAGATCAATGTTCTGAGAAATCCATGCATATTAATTATATTGGGATTGTGATGTCAAAATGTAGTCAAAACGTCTGGCTTTCTCATTCAATTTTTGAGTGGTTTTACCTGATTCAATGGCAATGTTACTCATGTTTTTTCAGCAGACAACGTTTACTGGACTCATTTACATATAAATAATAACAAAGTACATTTTTTGAAATCATGTTTCTTCTATCATATGGTAGTTTAAATCAAGTGAAATTGTTTTCATTGTTATTCACACCCTATAAAGTACAGATTATCCACCACTTTTGTTTAAGGTTTCCATGGATACTGCCAATACTGGAGCCGGAATGGGCTGTGGATAAAATGATGGATGCTATTCGTAGAAACCAGCCAATAATCTACCTCCCAAGGATTCTTTATTTCTTCTTTTTCCTTAAAGGGTAAGAAAAATTCATCTTTTTGTAATATAGCAGGGCTACCAACTCTTTCAATGCTGGACAAGCACCTTACCACAGTTATGTATAGTCCTCTTGTTGGGTTCAATTCGTCATCATTTTTAACACAGGGTTCCCAACAGTAAAATAGTCAACTACACTACAACACAGGGTACCCAAACACCTTGAAATGTTTGTTTCAGGGAATTTTACAATAATGTTTCTGTTGATTTATGAATATAGGTTTTTACCATGTGCGACCTTCTTTACCTTGAGTGACTTTTTTGGAGCCAGTAATTCCATGGATAACTTCAAAGGAAGAGCAAAGAACCAGTGATAACCAACTAAAGATTAAAGCTATCTGTAGCCGTAGTTGACCCCATGAACTATGCTACAGCATAAGATACTAGAGTGTTTATCCTGATTGACTAAAGGATAGATTAGGTTAATACTTGTTTCAATGGTCTCGTTCACGGCTCTGCGTAATCCTGTAAAGTAACTGTACCTTTGCATCAATTCAAAGCAATACAACTGGTGAGATTGCAATGACAGATGTCATGTAATGATTATAGGCCTGAAGGTATTTATTGCATGCTCACAAGTAGTCTTGCTTCATGTAAAGGCGCAATTGCCTTTTAAGATGGCACAGGGATCCATGAAGGAGATTGTTGAGAGATGTTGAGTGATGTCATTGGTTTTACTATGGCTATGTTTATCTATAGAAAATAAAGGCGATATCGGCGATATGCATTATAGCATCATTTCACTACCACTGCCAGAAAGCTCTGTGTATTTTGATTGTTATTCAGATTTTTTTATCCCTTTGAAGAACAGTAAAACAAGTTGGACTAATTACATTACAAAAGAAAGTGGGCAAAGCAGTCTGGTCTTGGTAGTATGTGACACCATCATGCACATCGTCTATTATTATGATGTAACATAAGATAATTAAAGATACAAAACTCGAATATAAAGCTGTAGTGGCGTCATATATGTCCATATATGTACTACACTTGAAATTTATAATGCATAGTATATAATTATTATTATATTTTTCCTCTTTTTTACCTTAGAACTAGAATAAACTTAGAGCTAGAGTGATCGCACAATCCGTGCAACTGTACAATAACTAGATAGTTCTATTTAGTAAATCGTGCATGCGATACTCAAATTAAATTGAATTGATACATATGAAGTATTTGATACCATCTTGCTTCAGGTCCACTTTTAGTACAAATTAGTACTACTTAGATTTTGTACAGTTGCACGGATTAAGTGCGTTCACTCTAGAATGAACTTAGAACTAGAATGAACTTAATAGAGCTAGAATAAACTTAGAACTATAAAGTGATGTCAGTCACTGGTTTAAAGTTGTTCAAACTTACCAAACTTGTCCAGTTGTAAAGTTATCTGAAGCCATATTTAGTTCATTAAATAAGGTACTACAGAAAGTTTGCCGTCGTCTTCTCGCAGATTATTTGTAATGCTTGTTTCAATTCAGAGACGATGAGGAATGTCACATAAAACAAATCCTTTGCATTAACTGAAAAGTTAACGACCGAATGTTTCGCTGCGTTTAGTCCGCTTTCTGTCTCGAATGCACCTATAATGTGCTCGAGTACGGAAGTGCAGCATCGTGAAGGAGCACCCCCCCACTCCTCCAACTCTCCCTGATGCCACTCCCGATTCTACCACCTGGAGAAAAGTGCCAGGGTGAGTCGGACCATACGCGCGTTCATAATATCTTGTTCTTCTGTCCTTTTCGTACATGAAAGGGCACCCCTCAAGTGTTACTTGAAGAAAATACTACCTTTAATTGATTTTATTCATTAATCCAGGTTAAACTTACTAACTTTAAATCCATGTCATAATCTTGGATTAGTCTTTTTAATCTTTTTAATCCTTGTAAAACTGTAGATTCGTTCCCAGTTTCCCACACGCTCATCGAGTTGACACGCGCGAGGCTGTGTGACAACGCCACGGACGCCACGTGTGAAAACTTGTCAAAACCCGGAGGCCAGAAAATCTGTTTCTCGGCAACTCAAGACATTTTTCTGACAATTTGAGAAGCAAAATGAATAGGTAAGTCCTATATATTTATTTTTAGAGATTAATAGCACTGTATTCGGTATTTTTCGTTGAGTTTATGGTCTTTATGTTATAATTCATCGGTGATGAATTTCTTGAACTTTGAGCGAGGTCACGAACATCTCACCAGAACAGAATATTTTCTAAAACAGTTTTTAGATTACCACGAAACAATTTACAGGTCTTGCATCCTTACGAATCAAAATTTGTTCTTTAATTTCATAACTGGGTGTAATTGTCTATTTTAATTTTGTCAACAATGGCGGCAAATTTGAACATCAATGTGGTTGTTTATAGTCACACACACAGGAAGCCCAAACAAATATTAAACTGACGAACAGGCAAACAGTTGATTAGAGTCATTTTCATCCGTCTGTGAAACAATTGCTATTAGTCAGTGTTTAACAGTAACTATTAGGGTGTAGCAGGCTACCAAAAGGCAAAATCAAAACCGTTTTTGCCTAATTTGTTTGTTGCATGTCATAAGTTAAGGAGTACAATTCCTAATTTCACAGACGGATGAAAATGACTCTATTTCAAGACTCCAATTTTGCCTAAAATATAACATGTTTTCAAAGAAACGTTTTCTCTAATGTTTCTAAACATATCACGAATCGATTGGTATTTTTATTAAAAATTAGAAGCAGAAGAAGAAAGAAGGAAGAAATATAGAAAATTCAGGACCAGAGCTTTAGCTTTGGATCAGTAACTAATAAATCGAGATCACAAAGGTTAGGGATCAAAATCGACGTTATTTTGGTGATCAAGGATCAGATTTTTTGAGCGAGGATTACGGAATACTAAAATCTCTCTACCTTGCTACATAGATTGTTGATCACACATGGGCTGCCTGTGGAAGTCATTATTGGTAAATGCGAGAGTCTAGCTTTCCGGCTTTTTTCTGACGACGCAAAGACTCTAGTTAACACGCTTGCGATATATTTGAAAGTGCGTATGTCAGCATTTGCAGTGACATTGATTGACCAAGTGGAATGGTATAATAGTTGTGATTTGATATTCCTATCCTCACCCGGCATATCGGACAAGTATAGATTTCAGTTGAACCTCGCGACCCGTTGTAAGGGTCCCACTTAACGTACTTAGAGCTGCCAAATGACACTAACAAACATCGCACGCGACACTTTTCATCGCGTACTCTACTTCTAGGCTTAAAATACCGATAAATCCATATCCCATGCCTTATAATGACCCAGGAATATCTTTAACACTCACGATAACTTACAAAAGAATATAAATAGAAAACACGTTCATTCCTCAGATGAAAACTATAACTCTAGTTTGTAAGTGAAGTCAGTTACTGAATTGTTCAAATTCCGATGTACTTTGCCGAAAAGACTGAAAAAAAAGACTGTGAGTTAGCCAGGTGGTTACCAAACGAATAGTCGAACTCGGAATGTGAAGTATTTACTAAGTTCACTGGACGAAACTTATGTCCATTAATCTTATTCTATCAACAATGGATAAGTCAATCTCTGTGCAGGAACATGGTAGGATTGTTGTACTTGAAAACGTGCCATCCAGCTCCATCCGTTGCTGAAAATAGCTGCATCAAGGTCCAATACTTATGTTTGTAAAAATATACAAATCTGTATTGCTCAAGAACACCATATTTACCCGACTCAAGATGGTACCAGATAACTACCTTCCCTGAAAAAAACGCTTCATTTTATTTTATTATCAATCGTGCCCGTGCTAAGAGAAATTTCTTGTATTTTGATTGGTCCTTTTGATTTCTATAACTGGTGTATGACTACTTCCATATATGGTATTAAAGGGCATTTAAACCGCGTGAAACAAAATTAAACGAATAAAACTGCAGTGCTTTAGAAGTATTTTTCACTGGCAACTCGGCAGGAACGTTTACTTTAGATAGCGTGGACTATTTTAGATCAGCAGGCTATTTTTGCAGCTCTACTAATCCTTCATTTGCGCGACCCTTTTATAAACCGATATTTAAATACTTTATAAGCGATTTAACAGGTCCGCATGCGGCCATTAAGAAAAGATCATAACTTAGTATGTCGATGTGGGGAAAGCATATTACTCATGTATCAGTTTTATCCGCTCTTTTTAGTAACCGAACTTTTTGCGACGTTTATTTCATTTCGAGACAGCACACACCTTCTTGTAGTTTTCAGTCTTGTTTTGTATTAAATAACCTTTGAGAAAATATCTCAATTTATTCTCATTCATTCGATATTTAGGTCTTAGTTAATTACTTAGCCGAGGTTTAGTTGAGAGCTATTCTTGTTACTGGCAAGGATTCTCTCTTATTACAATCAGGCCAAACTAAATTGCTAAAACTGAGTACTAGGGATGAGGGATGCTAATGCTGGTCTCCGGATTTTTGTCAGCGGTTTGATTTGACGCTGGTTAGTAAAAGTGCTGGCTCAGGGGTGGGGTTCAAATACCTTTCGCCATGTTTCAAACATTGGGCACAACGAGAATAGAGAAAAACAGAAAAAATACGTCACAATTAAATGTTGACTAATAAAATCAAGGTATAGAATTATTTCATATTTCAAATCTATCGGTATGAAAAAGTGAATGAAAAAATTTTTTATGAATCTGCAAAGTTTTGTTGTTAATACTTCCTTACTGGGATGGTTTAAGTCTTTATTCTTTGCGTGAGAAAAGAAGAGGAGTTTCTACCGCTTCCCGCTCTTCTTCTATTAGGAAGGAAGTCCTTTTTCATGCACTGGACATATTCGGTTGTCTTAATCCTTTGGTTAGCTAAAGTATTTTGGTATTTACCCCCCCTAAATGGAGTTCTAGCAATTTCCTTATCTTGAAAAGACCCATTAGCCGTGTCCTGTTCTCAAGCGTTCCTAGGCTGTTTTTGTTTTGTTTGTTAACTCATTTAATCTTTTCCTTCTTTTTTTTTATGTCACATGACTCTTAACTCATCCTGCTCCTCGGATTCTTAATATTTCTCACAATTCTTCATGTCAACACTGCGTACCAATTTCACCTTTTACATCTCTTTATAGTCAAGAAGATTAAAACTTTAATCCATGAAAGTCACCATTGAATCTGTTGCACTGTATTTGGTACTTGACCGAACACTGACMGTTCAAAGCATGGTCTCATGATATAAAGCTATCCTCGTCGTGTTCAGGATACTTTGCTCAATTTCACATGCATATCGTATTGTTAGTTGTCCTTACTGCAACTAGTACTAAATCGTCATGAAAAGTCTAGAACTTTTTGTTCCAGGAGCCTTGGTATGCTTGAATGCAACAGCTCCGTTAGTCTTTCGTTGGTTAAAATGCATGCTGAAAATCGTGTCTTTTTGGTTCTTCTTTCGTTTGGGCAAATTGTAGTTAGATAGTGCACAGTGTGCATTGTAGGTTAGGAAGGCCAACAACCTTTACTCGCGAATGCGGAAGGAGAGAATTGTTAAAAGCAACTTGATTTTGAAAAAGGACTTTACTATGCTGTCACTAAGTTGCCATCTGAAATAAGGTCAATAAAGCGTGTTTACTTTGAAATTATTTGGAATCCTGTTTGGACATATTGAAGTGTTTTGTTTTTAATCATTTCCCTGCTTATTTCATGCCTCTTTTGATATGATAATGTGTCTGTTTTATGTTATTTTTTATTCATCATTTAATGGTTAAAACTGTCTTGATGGGTTCCTCTTGTCATTTCAATGTTTAACTTTACTTTTACACAAAAACGTGTCAATTTATCTCATTTCACTACTCCATTTTATATAGTCCTTCATGGATAAATCACTCAATAACTTAACAATCTATTATTGCTTTTACCAGAAAGTATAAACACTTTATGGAACTATTCTGTAATAGTTACTAATATCATATGGTTACAAGATGAGGTCTAATGGAGTCAAGTTTTTATGTACGTCAATGGTGCCCCAACTTTAAAGTGTTTTCTTTTAAGATTGTTGTTAACAAATAGCTTTTACAACCCCCTGGACAAAGCCATTCATACACTTCTGACATCGATCTTGAACCCGATGGAATTATTACATATATGCTATATCGGCCGTATAATCACTCAGTA